CTATCAAATCAACCTAATTGCCTTGTCACTTTGGTAAAATTGTGACCACTTTGAGCCTGCAAATATGGCCGTTTATTGTTCATTTGAGTTGTGGGATTTCCTCCTGCTACGTAGACATAAATCTAGTAATGTCACTGATAATTAACTACCCACTTTGTCAGAATTCACTCATATTGACGGTTTTATACCCTCCAGTTAGGGGTGTGCGATAGACTTACCGCGTGGTGCACCCTGGGCAACGTATACTCATACGACACAAAAGTCTTAATCGGCAGTTGACTTCCGACGTCAAAACACCATCACCTCACTGTATGTCATATTCGACTACTTTCACAGTACTCGCCTCACCTTTTTCACTCTACCTTTGTGTCTGTCTCTTTTACATCTTTGAAATACTCTTCTGTTCCCCCCCTCCCCCTCTCGACTTTTTTTCACTTTGATATACCTTCCCCTCTGTGAAGCCTGAAATCAACTAAAGGGCTTATGATAACTATCAAAATGCCTGCCATTTGATATAAATAAATACCCTCCAGTTATGTATGCTGGTGATTTGGAAATGAGCGTTTCTTGGAGTCTTCACCACCAATATATTTCAACATATTTTCTTAACTTCAGAGTAAAAGTAGTAAAGGATTGCTGTATTCCGACAAGTTATGCGGAAATAAAAAATTAGGATGATTTTTCACATCTCTTTGGCTAAACTAGGAAACAATTAATTGAAAATGCTGACGTCAGTAACCGGCTAATATATATTTATATCAGATGGCAGGCGTTTTAATAGTTATCATTAGCCCCCTAATTGACTTCAGGCTTCACAGAGAGGAGGAGGAACATCAAAGTGAAAAAAGTCGAGAGGGAGAGAGGGAACAGAAACTTGTCAAGGATGTAAAAGAAGCAGACACAAAGGTAGAAAACGGTGAGGTGAGTACTGTGTAAGCGGTCGAATATGGCATACAGTGGGGTGATGGTAGTCAGAAGTCAACTGCCAGCTGATAAACTTTTTGCCGTATGAGTATACGTTGCCCAGAGTGCATCACGTGAAGGTAAGTCCATCGCACACCCCTTTACCGGCTTAAATAATAAATTCTACTACACTGATTTAAGTAGAGAACGCTAGTAAGGAACAAATATTAAAATTTGCATTGCGCCGATTAACTCACCAGTACACATTGCTCTAAATTTCATTTCCAATTTTTTTATTTGTACTCCTGATTATAGTAGATCAAAAGTCGTTTGTCATACATTCAAAAAAATTTCAAGGTCGTCAGCGAATTAGAAGATTGATCAACAGATGTGGTGTAATAGTCAATATTCCGATCCCTATTTCGCCATTATCTTATAAAGCATTAATTGATAAATGAGATTCTAAATAACCTATTCCTTAATAAGACTTATAGTAGACGAAAAGGAAAGGACTTGTTGACCGTTGAACGAAATTGATTTTACGAAGTATCTTTGTCAATGCATTCAGAACAGAGTAAATAGCAAATACCCTTTACTAACTTGTACTTACTATTTGCAGTATTAATATTCAAATTAATGAAGCATTTTTTTCTCATTTAGTTTCGCATTTACAAAAGTGGCTTGTGATTCTGAAAACTTTTTTTAAAACTTTTAGTGAGTTGATGTCCAGTTTACGTGGCTTATTACCTTATCGAAAAATCGATAGCGTAGTTTACTTTGGTGAAAAGAACTCAAAAAAATTTCTGATAAGTCATCATCAATGAAGTTTAGAAACTGCAAACTTTTTGTAAGTCTAAGCTTAAAAATATTGCAGTCTGATTAATAGAAGTGCTTTTGCAAAACAATGAATATAATTTAAAAAAATGATGTTGTCATAAAGGGAAGCATGAAAGATCAAAATAAAGAGGTCAAAAAACAATTCGAATGCGCTATGTTTTGCTGAGCCGGGATGTGTGATTGACTTACCTCCACATGGTGAACCTTGGGGAACGTTTACTCAAAAAAGCCTATAAAAAGGCAGCTGACTTCTCACTTCTAACTACCATCACCCCACTGAATGTCATATTCGACCACTTCACGATACTCACCTTACCTTTTCTCTATCTTCATGTTTGTCTCTTTTACATCTGTAAAACACTCTTCTGTCCCCCCCTCTCGACTTTTTTTCACGTCAAGTAAAGGACTAATGATAACTATTAAACGCTTGCCATTTGATATAAATAAATAAATGTTTTACTGAACCGACTTAATACATTTTAAGTCAATATTTAGAATCGCAACTATCTTGAAGTTGGAAACAATTTAACCAAACTTTTAATGAAGAAATCTCAAGATATATCTGAAAAAACAATAGTCTAAAAACAGTATGCATCTCAGAGTCGAGGTATAATTGAATAATGATTATCAGTGCATGATTTAATGTTTTACTATTAAGTTCTTGCTTAAATCAAAGGCAATAATTTGGATTTTGAAGAACTTTTATTTTAAGGTTGAATGATTTCGTGACTCAGCTTGCTAATGCAGAAAACCAGAAACCAGCCTGAAAACGCTGGTTAGTTCCATGTTCTGAGGGAAGGGAAGGGAGAAACCCGATCAGTGTTGGTCTTTTTCGACCAGAGAGATTACTTATAAACAGCTGTGACTGTAAGGATCCAGTTATTCGATTTTTTAGAATGATCAAAACAGGGGTATTTAAGTCGTCAGATATTAGGATATCCTCCCCATAACATGTAAGAAAAGATGCACAAGTGTGCTCACAGACCCCAGAACTAAATCATATTGCAGTTAATTTTATTCATTACAAAGAGTTAGTTAGACAAACTGGATACACATGACTTTACCCCATGGAAACCAATGTGTCCCAAGGAGGGCTAGTCGTGTGTTAAGGAACTGGGAAACAAATGGCATTAGTTAGTTCCGGATCGACATACAAGACAAGATGAAACAGTTCGATGCTGTTGCGAAGTCCGCTAATATTTATATTTACACTACCGGGGGGGGGGGGGGGGGGAGGGTGCACCCTGGGCATATTCATACGGTACCATCACCCCCACTGTATTCACCTTACCCTTTCTAAGCCTTTGTGTCTGTTTCTTTTACATCTGTGAATTACTCTTCTATTCCCCCTTTCGGAAAATTCCTGCGCTGAACTGAGTTGTTGAGCTCTCCGGTACTTTTCAGAATTATACCAGCTTTAAAAGCTTTAAGATGTTACAAGCAAGCTCTATTAGTTGTAACGACTCGATACTAATTACATCCCTCATGCCTGAATAACCAAGACATGTTCCTCTCTCACAACAATCTGATTTAATGTGGTCCTAAAGAGGACCGAGGCATCGTTATTAGTGGTTTACAGCCACTATAATATATATTTCATCGTTTCTTCAAGCTCTCTCTCCACGAAGTCGACGGGCCAACTGCATGTCCTTGGGCATGATTGTCACGCGTTTGGCGTGAATGGCACACAAGTTGGAATCTTCGAAAAGACCAACTAGATAGGCTTCAGTGGCTTCTTGAATAGCCATGACAGCTGTGGACTGGAAACGCAAGTCAGTCTTGTATTCTTGAGAGATTTCACGCACTAAGCGCTGGAAAGGCAGTCTACGAATAAGGAGTTCGGTGCTCTTTTGGTAGCGTCTAATCTCACGAAGAGCTACCGTACCTGGTCTGTAACGGTGAGGTTTCTTAACACCTCCAGTTGCTGGAGCACTCTTCCGAGCAGCCTTTGTAGCGATCTGTTTCCGAGGAGCTTTACCTCCAGTACTTTTACGCGCAGTTTGTTTAGTTCTAGCCATAACGATTAACAACGATATGCCAACATGCCTCTAACTATCTTCTAGCGCCATTTTTATAGCTGGAGCTAAAAAATTGAATTATATCTTTATTGGGTAATCAGAAAATTGTGATCGCTCATTGGTGAAATTTTGGCAAATTAAATCTCACAGATTTCTATTCTGATTTCTGTGAAGACAAATCGTTGGCTTTTCAAAAATCAAATATCAATAAAAAAATTCAATTTATGCATATAGATAGTACTTTAGTAAGTCAGATATTGAAATGAAATTTTTATTTATATCAAATGGCAGGCGTTTTGATAGTTATCATTAGCCCTGAAGCTGACTTCGGGGTTTAATGAAGAGGAGAAGGGACATCAAAGTGACAAAAAGTGGAGATGGGAGACAGAATAATGATTCACAGAGGTAAAAGAGACAGACAGACAGACAGTCACAAAGGCATATTAAAGGTAAGATGAGTACTGTAAAAGGGATCGAATATGAAGAATAGTCGGGCCATAGAAATTTGAAGTCAGAAGTCAACTGTCGATCAATAGACTTTTTTACCAGGGTGCACCACGTGGAGGTAAGTCTAATATACGTTGACCAGGGTGCACCACGTGGAGGTAAGTCTATTGCGCACCCTGAAATGAAATTAAGTAACGACAAAATAGCGAGTTAAGATTTTGGAATGCCAACTTAGAGTTTTACTGTTTATTCTTAATTTTCATTACGACATAGTTTAAACTTGGAGCTTCTTTAATGGTTACAACTGACAACCTTTTTAAAGATTTACTTTATTCCCTAATAATTTTTACGAAACATTTGGGGATAATTTAAAAGATCTTCAATCTCGGAAGTTTCTCCAATAATCAGTTACTGATGGTTTTTCATCATAGACTATAAGTTTTTGTCCAATCTAGATATTTAAGTTGAATTTCTTAAACTGCCATGAATTTCAGATGATGTTCCGATAGTGCCTTCCCACATATTACCTTCATCGAATTGGGATGTTCTTGACTTATGAATTTCATTCGATTTAGAAAATATCTTTCATCTGAAGTTAGTTGCTATAGATTTCACCATCATGAATCCATATGCAATTAAAATATATTATTTTAAAAGTATTGACTGTTAATAAAAACTATTATGGCAGCAATAAAAATGAATGTAACAACATAGTCACATATAACTATAGCAACTATTTATTTATTTATTTTAAATGTCAGGCGTTTTGATAGTTATCATTAGCCTTTAGCTGACTTAGGGCTTCACAGAGGGGAGGAACATCAAAGTGAGAAAAATTCTAGCGGGGGAGCAGAAGAGTGGTTCACAGATGTAAAAGAGACAAACATGAAGGTAGAGAAAAGGTAAGATGAGTACTGTGTTATTGGACGAATACGACATTCAGTGGGGTCATGGTAGTTTGAAGTTAGTTGTCAACTGCCTTTTTATAGACTTTTTTGCCTTATGAGTATACATCGCCCAAGGTGTACCATATGGAGGTAAGTCTATCGCACACCCCACTATAGCAATTATGAAATCTATCAAAATCACGTATCACTCTGTATGTTAATGAAGCTGCAAATATATTGAAAATTTAAATTGGCGTCTTAGTGTGATTTCAGTTATGTTTGCGGTTGGATTTTCTTGAATTTGGGAGAGATAAGTCGATAAACACGGTTTTTTCCTCAACGAAAATTCAATTTAAGTATGACCTCTTTTGTATTATATGAAGTAAAAAAAACGCTTTATGAAAATTTAAACCAGAGTTGAAAAGAATTTAGAAATTTTTTTATCGGGGATTGAAAATCAGATTTTCATATCTATTGATTATCAATAGACGAAGTTTTTTCTGCTGAGCTTTATTTACCTAATTGGAAAGTAGAAACTTTGAGATTTAAAAGTTTAGATTAAATTTGTTTGCCACGAGAGCTTTGCCCATTAAAAAGATAAAACAATGTTTCAGACATTGCCGATTTGTTAGGTAACCATAGGCGTTAATCGGCACATCACAAGAGATAGTTTAGAAATCGATATTAATTAATAGAAACTGATTAGGCCTGGTAATTGAGGTCTCAATATTTCTAAAATTTTGGAAATATGTTCTTAAATAAAAACCGGTTTTTGATTTGGTTTTAAAATTAGGTATTTGCTTTTCCGCAGATAAAAATGAAAAAAATGCATTGTGATAACGTTATGTTCTACTTGATCCTAATTTACCTATTTAAAATAAAAAAACTAGTATAGGAGAGTTTGTTAATTGTCGATGGAATTTAAGCGAAATTCACCAGTTGAAATAAGCGGTGTTATTTACCTCAGCGTTTCGCATTAAGAATGAGAGTATCCTTCCACCTAACTCTTCAGTATATCATCAGAAGTTTAAAAAATGAGTGCTCGCTTTGTTACATCTCCACTTCCAATTTCTCATTGACTTTTCCTCGATCCCTCAAAGCGACAAAGGGCCTGAGACATCTAGACCCGTAAACTACCATGCAGTGAAAACTACTCAAAATTCAGCGAAATTCATCTGTATGCTACCAGAGGTAACAGATGGAGACCTTAGGGACATATCATTTTTGGCGAATAAAACTAGATTCTACATGGAATATTTGAGCATTTGAAGATAGTTCACTATCTAAAGCTATAAATTCAATGTGAGTGCTATGAGAGGAATGAATTCAGTATTGAATATCGTGATACGGCTGTAGAAAATGTCAGTATAGTATAATCAATATTGAAACTTCTGATAATATCATTTTGCATCCAGGTGCAATGGGTTTTAAAACACAAACAAATTTGCTAATCGATAAATGTTTGAGTAAGTTCGAGTTTTTTAACTAAAGAGACAGCAAACTTTGAATTAAATTATGCTATTTCATTACACAAGATAGGTGTTTCAAAACGCTTCCCTAAGTACGTTTTCAATTAATTTTTCAAATGTATCCTGTCAAAATTCACGGTTGCCTAAACAGCCTCATAAATGAGTGGTATTAGGAGAGGAAATTGATCCAGATTGTGTGAAGGAATAAATATGTTGAAACGAATAACGGCCTCATTAGCTAGACGTTGCACAACCATCCCTATTTGTTCTAAACATAAATTCTCTGGTTAAAATAGAAAGGAGAACAAAGAGGCACTTGACATAGCCCAAATTTTTGTTCTGTTTTGAATAAGTCCTGCAAAATATGCCACTTTATAAATTTGAATTCAAACTGTATTTCAAGGGAAGAAGCTTATGAGGGTCAGGGCTCAATGTTTGAGATTGTAACTACTTTTTTATAACTCCTTTGCAAAAAAGTTAAAATAAGGCTGGGTGATAGTAATAACATTGGGTGACCCTAGCATATACAATAATTCAAACGAGATGATCTAACCTTAAAGAATAATTAGTGTTTACTTGACTGTTTTTAAACTTAACAATCAATGGCTCCTGTGGAGCACACAACATTGCCACCGCTGAACAAAGTAAACTCATGTCCCCCTTAGACGGCCTTGAAGGGCGTAAGTGCGGCTAAGACATGACTTAAGAGATGGGCAGATGTTTGATAAGTTGGTGAGCCCGCTTTTAATTTGACAGCATGATTAAAATGTAACATTAACTATTGGATTTTATAACCTTCAAATTTTGGGTCAGCTTTTTTTATTCAACTGCAAACACTATTGGCTGATTAAGAAGTTAGTTATTACAAAAACTGAATTTGTTTCGTAGACAAAAACTGTGGTTGACAAAGTAAGCCCGCACTAATGTACTTTAGTCGTGACGCCATAAATTAAGTATTTTAGAAATCGCTACTGTTTCAATGTACGTTATTTACTCATTATACTTAAGGAAAAGCGCAAGTGGTTCCAAAACGAAGAGTCGCCATTTTCCGAATCTTATATCATTCATTACAAAATTGGGAATGTTTAGCTTCGCCGATTGTTTGAATATTTAGAAGCGATTCGTCCCGGAAACCTATACCAAACAACTAGAACAAGGAAACTCATCTGGATTTTAGATAACTAAAAACTACAGTCCAGGATTGAAAACCATAATTATAAAAAATAAACAAAAAGAATAGTTTATTTTAAAAAATAATATCAATGTGTGGGGCACACAAGGCACCACTGAACAGATAATCTCTTGCACACCCAGACTGGGAGTAAGGGCAGTCGTGAGCGCGGAGAACACATCCGCCATATTGATATAATGACTAAGCTCTCTGTCCATTCACACACATCCCGTATAAACGTGTTCCCCTTAAAACGTATGTTTCCTTTGTAGCCTTGGGGGGTAATTTAGCTAGAGCTTAGTCTTTCCAAACACAAGAGAATCTGCCATAAGGAATATTGAGTATAGTCAAGGCTTACTAGTGCAGCAATCCACTACACATCTCTTAATAAATCTCACCATTTCTCCTTTCGACGGTGGAGCCTTAAAAAAACTTGGTAGGTTTAAATATTTCCTAGCCGATTTGAGTTTAAAGTATCACAGTTTCTGATGCCCGTAACATGTTGTTGCAATGTTTATGGAAATGAGCATTTGAAAAAATTTCTTTTCCATAGTCTGAGAGATGAATAGTGACTAGATTTAAGCGCAAGTAAATGGTTGATATGTAGAATGAAGGTGTTTTTTAAGGGTGTGGCCTACCATCCGAGCTAATAGAAGAGTTACTACGTTCTTGACACTGAGAATACTGAAAGTGATTTAATCCTGGAGTTTAGACATTTGAAAACTGGGGTGTACGATAGACTTACCCCCACGTGGTGCACCATGGGCAACGTATACTCATACGGCAAAAAGTCTATTAACTGGCAGTTGACTTCTGACTTTAAACTACCATGACCCCAATGTACGTCATATTCGAATACTTCACAGTACTCGCTTCACCTTTTTTCTACCTTCGTTTTTGAAACACTTTGATGGTCCTTCCTCACTGTGAAGCTTGAAGTCGACTAAAGGACTGTCATTTGATATGAATAAATACATTTGAAAACTAGAACTTGAAACAACTGGAATGTTGAGAGGTTTTCCTACA